CAACCAAAGGGTATACACTACAAGTCTGCCCACCAGTCGTCAGCACACAGCCCCTCTCCCTCTCTGGATCTAAAGTTCTCAGTTGCTCCCTCTCTCCATGTCCTCATCTCTGCCTCCATCTCTGGTGTCGCCACTTCTCTGGATAAAGTCCCGCATTCCGCTTGTGTTCTCCCTTGATGGTCCTAGGGTCCTCTGTTTCTGGACTGTAAGATTAACTACTTGCCCCTTTTCGTTACAAACTTCTACCTTTACAATTGTGACAGTTGCAATTAGACATGATAACAATTACTATTGAATCATAGGACTCTTATCCCGCCACCCAAGACTGAAACTCAAAAGGGAACACATGAACAGGCATGTAAGCTGGCCAGCGACCACATTGGTCTACTGGTGAGTGGAAGAGGGGGAAAGGCAGTCACTCTTTGCCTTTATCACCCCCTCATTTTACGTAGCCAGTGTCTAAGTTGCCCATCACTATCTACCCTGTATACGGAGGGGATAGCATTGATACTTGATGTGACGACTCCTTCTCTCCCTGTTGGCATTTTGAGATACTACCTCTCCATCAGTGCATCTTGATTGCATGTTTTATCAATTTCATGAAGAAGAAGTTAACAGAATTCTTCAATTTCATCATCATCACTTGCTTTAGTGGCTTGTATGTAAATTTGAATTACGGAAGTGCTCACCTGTCTTCCTGTATCATGGATGGCCTTGTACTTCAGGATAGATCTGGGAACATTCTCTTTGACAATTCGGTGCGGCCGGTCCTCTTGACTTTGTTGTTCCTGGCATAGTAAAAGATATGACTGATTCAGAATGGCCATTCCAGTCTAAATCAGCTGACTGGTCATGTGGTGGCTAACAAGTTGGGCTGCTAACTGCAAAGTTAGCAGTTTGAATATATCGGCCGCTCCTTGGTAGAAAGATTAGACTTTGCTCCTGTAAGGATTTATAGACACAGAAACTCTATCCTGGGTCACCATGGGTCAGAACTGACTCCACGGCTCACCACCACCACAGTGCCTAGGAGATCAGACTTTATGTGTTCCATTTCATTTTGTTGTTGTTAGGTGCCATCTAGTTGGTACCAACTCATAGTGACCTTATGCACAACAGAACGAAACACTGCCTGGTCCTGGGCCAACCTCACAATTGTTGCCATGCTAGAGCCCATTGCTGCTGCTACTTTGCCAATCCATCTCATTGGGGGGGTCTTCCTCTTTTTGTCTGACCCTCCACCTTACCAAACATGATAACATTCTCCAGCGACTGGTCCCTCCTTATGATATGTCCGAAGTATGAGAGATGAAGTCTGGCCATCCTGGCCTCCAAGGAGCACTCTGGCTGCCCTTCTTCCAACACAGATCTGTTGGTTCTTTTGGTAGCCCATGGCACTTTCAATATTCTCCTCCAACACCATAACTCAAATGCATCAATTCTTCTATGGTCTTCCTTATTCATTGTCCAGCTTTTGCATCCATATGAGGTTATTGAAAATACCATGGCTTGGGTCAGGCGCACCTTAGTCCTCAAGCTGACATCTTTGCTCTTCAACACTTTAAAAAGTTCCTGTGCAGCAGATTTGCCTAATGCAATATGTCATTTGATTTCTTGACTTCTGCTTCCATGAGCGTTGATAGTTGATCTAAAAAGAATGAAGTCCTTGACAACTTCAATTTTTTCTCTATTGATGAGAATGTTGTTTATTGGTCCAGTGGTGAGGATTTTTGTTTTCTTGACATTGAGATGCAATCCATACCGAAGGCTGTGCTCTTTGATCTCCATCAGTAAATATTTTAAGTCCTCTTCTTTTCCTAGATTCTTACTGAGTACATTCTGTGTTCCGGTTATTAATAGATGTCTGCATCTATTTCTCTTCAGTTTGAGTTGTGCCCCATCCACAAATGACGGTTCTGAAAGCTTTGTACCGTTCAAATCTTTTTGGTCAACTTTCCTTTGAGAAGAGCTCTATCTGTAAGGTTTTCATCTTCTTGTACTACATTTGACAGTGTTCCACTGCTAATCCTAGGGTTTTCAGTGACTCAAGATTCCTATGTAGTCCGCCACTTCTTCTTCCTCATCCGTGTTTGTCTGAAACTCCATGGAAACCTGTCCACCGTGGGTGGCCCTGCTAGTATTTAAAATATGGTAGCCTCGCTTGGAACAACACACAAGCCCCCCCATAGTACGACAGACAGACATGTGGTGGCGACATCAGCCCATTGTTCTTCTATGTGATGAAGTCTTGGTGTGGTGCTATGCGATAAGCACTGGACTGCGAGCCACAGGGTCCGTGGTTCAAACCCACTCGATTCTCCTTGAAAACCCTATGCAGTGTCACTGTGAGTCAGAACCAATGTGACAGCAACATGTTGAGCTGACTCCTTGCGGTTGAGAGTCCAGCGCTTACCCTACAGCACACACCAGGAGTGTGTGTCCCTTCCCTGTTCTTGAGCTGCTTCCTGAGGTGTTGGACAGAGTCCATCAGTGTGTGTAGCTCAGCTCTTCACTCCCTCCTCTGTTCGCCCCGCTTGAGAAATGCTTAGTGTGTTTTTCTCTGCTTTTCCTAACTCCAGAGCTTCATACGTTTCTTTATAACGCTTTCCTTTGCCGTTTTCACGCACTTTTGATGTTTTTTCTGTTTCAGCTCTTTTCCTTCTCATTTCTTCATTTGCTTTAACTACTCTGTGGTCACCATCAAGTGTTGAGTTTCTTCTGAGATCCATTTTGGTCTTTTCTTTATTTAGTAAGAGAGGAATAGCAGTGCAGTTGATAGCAAACTGCGAAGTTCTTTCAGTTTGTTGGAATTGTGAGACAGGATGCCATCGGTGAGGAGCTGAGTGTGGATAGTGAAACGTAAAAGTGGCGGCTATGCCCTTGAGGAGTCCTTGGTAGGACACAGAAGCTGTTTTCCAATCTCTGTGAGTCCCCAGCTCCCAGGGCCGTCAGCCCCACCCTTCTCCCTTGTGTCCACTGGAGTGCTTGGCACCTTGCTAATCCACTGTGTGGGGGCTGTTTTAGGACTCCGTGGTCGTCGAGGATGTGGCAGTGGTCTTCAGCCAGGAGGAGTGGGCTCTGCTGGACGTTGCTCAGAGGAAACTCTACAGAGACGTGATGATGGAAACCTTCAGAAACCTGGCCCTAGGTAAGAATGGCATCATGGCTGTGCATCAGTATTTGGAAATAAATTGTTAAATAAAACAATAATCTCTGTTTTTAAATGTAACTGTGTTTTAAGTGTAAGCATTAGCTACCAGATAATTTTCTACTTACCATAAGCACTGGGCTGGTAACCATAAGGCTCACGGTTCAAGCTCAACAGCCGCTCCACAGAAGCGAGATGAGGCTTTTTGCTCTCCCTGAAATGTAACGTCCGGAAACCGTATACAGGGTTGCTGTGAGTAGGAACTGATTCTACGACATTTAACAAGAGTCTGGGTTTGGGGACTTTGTAGAGGGTTTTTCTGAGTTTATTATTAAAAGTTTAACATTAATATTTTCCTGTAAATAAGCTCACACCTGTCCATGTTTGAGATCATAAAACAAAAGAATTGACTCGGCATTAGAGAAGTATCCATTGCCTCCTCTTCCCGCAGGGCAGGCATTTGTCCCTGAAAACCAGGTAATCATGTGTTTGAAACACATAATTTAAAAAGAGTAACCGTGTGTTTGCCCAGAGGAACAGGGACAGTGGTGATAGGAGGTTAGGTTTGAACTCGTCACCTAGAAATGCTCTCTTTGGATTGAGAACACAGCTTCACCGATTCCTGAGCACCCCACTGGTCATAGAGGCCTTTTTCCTCCTTTCATGTTTCATGTGTGTTGTGTCCAGAATCCCTCTGCTCTGTGCTCCCGAGAATACCTCTTTATCTCAGCGTCACTTTTGGTCAGGGGTGTATTCCTTAGTAAACTACTCGACAACCATTGCCAATGTAAAACGTACGGGTTTGTTCCCAGCAGCCATTTTTTCCCTAATAATACCTTTCCTTTTTATTTCATATTGTGAATTATTGTATCAGTCTATCAAAACCTTAATGGTGGAGAAAAGTCATCTGATGAACATGGAATGCTACAAATCATGACCAATAACAGCTGGCCCTTCGTGTTAGAGGAAACCCGCAAAGTGTGTGACGATAAAGATCAGAATAAAATCCAGGGGAGTGATTCCAGGTGAGTGTCGTTCGTATAAGAGAAATGGGTGCCTCGGGAGAGTATCCTAAAGTGTCGTGACGGTATATACGTACGACGTCTACATAGATAGAGGGGCCCTGCTGGTACAGTACGTCCAACCCCAGGTGCTGACTCTAAGTCCCACCAGGCTCCCTGAGAAGGATGAGCCGTGTGCTCCTGGAGAGAGTAAATTCTCAGAGCAGTTCTGCTCTGTCATACAGCGTTGCTACTGGTAGGACCCAACTTCTTGGCGGTGAGTGTCCACACATGTATGCTTCTACTCAATGGTGCATGGTCAGGTGGAGGGTCAGTTAAAGAGAGAACTCTTCAACAAAATGGACCGATACGGTGTCTGCAACAGCGGCCCGGCCCATGGTGCCTGACCCCAGTATGTGTCATTTGGCTGCAGGAGGGATTTCTGTGAAGCAGAACTGACTCGATGGCAGCTCACAGCAACATATATAGAAGTCTAGCGGTCAGACTATGTGTTCACAGAATTTTCAAAGTGCACCATCTTCACGAGTAAGATACTGAGTATTCGAGACATTTTACTTCAACATAGTCAGACAAAGGCCGTGTATATTAGGAATGTGGTGACGGTAGTTTTTGGTAGTATTTTGACCAGATGATTTAGCCTATGAAACAGAGACATCAGGGCAAGAACCTTACAGAATTACTTTATTAGCGGGAAAATGGCGATGAATTTATACACACGTTGCCTGTTTTTTACAGAAATCGCATACTGGAGAACCTCTGTGAAAGTAACGAAGGCAGTCAGAGTGAGAAACCCTTCGGCTGGTCTCCAAATCTTACTGCACTGCAAAGAGACCCTCCAGAGGCAAACCCTTCGGAACGCTGTGAGTGGGAAAAAACCTTCGTGAATCACTCGGTGCAGAACCATCATAACAGATCTCACAGCGGATACGGCGCCTGTCCGTGTGAGAACTGTGTCCAGGCCTACGGTCGTCCCTCTCACCCATCACCCCTTACTCCTATGAGAACTCTGAATGAAGAGACACCCTTTAAATACAAGGTATGTGGGAAAGACTTCAGTAGTAACTCAGTGCTTAAAAATCCTCTGACAGCATTCAGTGATGTGAAAAGCTGTGAACACGATGACTGTGGGAACTATTTCTGTAAGCCCTCAGCCTTTTGGTCACACCTGCAAAACCGTGAATGTCAAGAAAGTAAAACGTACAGCCTGCCTCCAGCTCTCATTTTACATAACAACTATCGTGACAGAGATGGGCCTTATGAATGTAAGGACTCTGAGAAAGCCTTCGGTCAAGACTCATCCCTCACTAAAAATATCAAAAATCCCAGTGGAGAGAAGCCTTATGGATGTAAGGAATGTGGAAAAGGCTTTTGGCACCTCTCAGCCCTTACTCGACATTTAAGAACGCACAGTGGAGAGAGGCCTTACGAATGTAGTGATTGTGGGAAAGCCTTTAGTGAGGCCTCATCCCTCACTAAACATAGACGAACTCACACAGGAGAGAGGCCTTATGAGTGTAAAGTGTGTGGGAAAACCTTCACCTGTTCCTCCAACCTTATCCAACATGTGAGAACTCACAGTGCCGAGAGGCCCTATGAATGTAAGGAATGCGGGAAAACCTTCCGTAACTCCTCAACCCTCACGACACATCTAAGAACTCATAGTGGAGAGAGGCCTTGTGAGTGTAAGGAATGTGGGAAGGCCTTTAGTAACTCCTCAACCCTCAGCAGACATAAAAAAACGCACAGTGGAGAGAGACCTTATGAATGCAAGGAGTGTGGGAAGGCCTTCAGTCGACACTCACACCTGACTAATCATGTAAGAAGGACTCACCTTGAGGAGAAGCCTCACGAAGGGGCAAACTGTGGGGAAACCCTCACTGGTTCCTCAGTCCTCACTGTGCCTAGAAGAACTCACACTGTAGGGAGGCCTTATGAATGTAAGGAGTGTGGGAAAGCCTTTATTCATGCCTCAGCCCTCACTAAACACAAAAGGATTCACACTGAAGAGAGGCCCTACAAGTGTAAAGAGTGTGGAGAAGCCTTTAGTCGAGCCTCGACCCTCACTAGACACATAAGGACTCACACTGGAGAGAGGCCCTATGAGTGTAAGGAGTGTGGGAAAGCCTTCAGGCAGCTCTCAACCCTCACCAAACATGTAAGGACTCACAGTGGAGAGAGGCCCTATGTGTGTAAAGAATGTGGGAAAACTTTTATTGAGTCTTCAACCCTCACTATACATACAAGGATTCACACAGGAGAGAAACCATACGTGTGTAAAGAATGTGGCAAAGCATTTAGTCAGCTCTCAGCCCTCATCACACACATCAGAACTTACAGTGGGGAGAGGCCTTATGAATGTAAGTATTGTGGGAAAACCTTCATTTGTTCCTCAAATCTCATTACACATATCAGAACTCACACTGGAGAAAAGCCCTATGAATGTAAGGAATGTGGGAAAGCCTTCAGAAGGCTCTCAACCCTCAGTAGACATTTAAGGATTCACAGTGGAGAGAGGCCCTATGAATGCAGAGAATGTGGGAAAGCCTTCAGGCAGGTCTCAGCCCTAGCTACACATGTAATGACTCATAATGAATAGAGGCCTCGTGATTGCAGAGACTCTGGGAAGACCTTCAGGGAGGTCTCAGCC